ATTTACTATTGTGACACTTATTGTGAATATGTAGTATTAGTGAATATGGAGAAGTGATGGATCCATAATTCTAGCTAATAAATCTGTAACTATAATACAAGATGCCGCCTTGTCTATTTTTTTCTCAGTACTTGTCCTTTGGCTTTTGGGAGTGATTTGGGATGTGCATTTTCCTTGTGCCCTGGGGGTTATTCAGACGGTGATAATAATCCAGGATGAATCCAGTTGAATCTCCATTGTTCACATGCATCCCGAATACACCTGATTAAATTTTTTTGAGGGGGGCTGTCAAAACTCCCACTTAACCCAGGATAATCGATACCATCTTTCCCCCCGAGTTTAAAAAATATATATTTGCATTGTTGCCAGTGTGAATAACTGATGCGAATAGACCCAGGATTAAACTCTGCATGCTTGAACATGTTTCAAATACATTCACATTGTCGATTCCATGTTTATTTGAATTGTGGCATGTGTGAGCAACCAAACTCGCAGAGATGCACTTCCAAAGTGTGAATAACAAACCCAGAATGTGTGAATGAGATTATTCACATCATTCCATTAAAAACAACAACGTCTGGATGATCTCCTGGTGTCCCTTTTCTCCCAGTCTTTTACACCTAGCTATAAGAGACAGAGTGACCATTAAACAGTGTGAGGAGAGGACTGCCTCAGGATACTGAGGATACTAAGTGGCTGCAGCTCTCCAGCTGTTCTTCTTCATGTGCCATTAGATCTGTTCTGCTCCTTGAAAGTCAGCTGGCTACCTTCACATTTCTATTTTGCTGTTCTGTAGAGAGTATTGAAGAATAATGAAATTTCCTGTCCATGTCAACTATGTGGAATGAGGCAAGGGATCATCAACTTGATCTTTGCCTCCAGCAACAAAAAACCATGTGCCTGGCCTCTTGCCTGACCAGATAATAAACAATTTAAATATTGAATAAGTATTTCTAACTCCTAAAGCCTTAATACTATATCAGCAGATCTTATGTTTGGGTACAATTCAGTGAAATCACTTTAAAGCATGGGTAGGATGTGTGCAGCTCTTCAGATATTGTTGAGCTGCAACTCCCAGAATTCTGTATCATTGCCTATGCAGCACAACAACATCTGAGGGGCTACAAAATTCCTACCCTGCTTTGAAGCTAAACTATTCAAACAGCTTTAAATGCTCTAAACCAGGGGTAGGCAACCTTTCCCCTTTAAGGGCTGAGGGACTTTAGCTCCCAGAATCCCAGGAGCTATTGGCCAACATGGGACTATTGGCCAACATGGCTGAGGCTTCTGGGAGCTGATGTCCCTCGGCCCTTAGAGGGGAAAGGTTGCCTACCCCTGCTCTAAACAATTCAAACAGAGGAATTCCAGGAAACTGATAAATTGATAGCCAAACAATGATCTCATCAAGTCATAAATGCCCTGATAAACAGCCAGGATTTAACTTGGGATTAAAAATAAGGGCAATGTTGGTGTCGGTCAGAAGAAAGCATTCCATAACTGAAGTGCTACAGGAGAGAAATGTTGTGACTATTCAGGTGTAGCACCTCAGTTCAACAACATCTGAAGAGCTGCACAAATCCTTCTCCTGCAATCCTATTCATAATAAGTATAATGGCATCTATTGTAGGATTAAACACTACTTGTTAAGGTCATGTTATTAACACATCCTGCTTGGTCTGCAACAGGAGACCTGAAACATTGACAGAATGTTGTTGCTGTTGTGCCTCCAAATCATTTCTGATTTATGACGACCTTAAGGCAAACCTATCATGGGGTTTACTTGGCAAGATTTCTTCCGAGGAGGTTTGCCATTGCCTTCCCCTGAGACTGGGAGCATATGACTTGCCCAAGGTCACCCAGTGGGTTTCATGGCCAAGCTGGGAATTGAACCCTGGTTTCCAGAGTCATAGTCCAATATTCAAGCCACTACACCACACTTCTTTTTGTTTTTCTTTTTGTTCCTCTTCCCTTTCTGTTTATTTGTATTCCACCTTTTCTTCAGTTTGGGACAAACAGGGAATTACTGTTTCTGTCTGTTTCCATGAAAATCCTTCTAAAGGAGTGTTTCCCAAACTATCTGTTGTGGGCAACTTTTTTCCCTATGTGCCAGCGGAAAAAAATTTCCAATGTGCAAGGGAAAAATATCTGTACCATAGTTGTGGCCTTTATTTACAATTGTTTTTCTTTCTTTCTCAGAAACTCACCAGGGACCAACTATTTTGTGTAGGTACCTTCCTGAGCCAACTGTGTGTTGCATGTACATTGTACATGCCTCCATTAGATGGAGCTCTAAATGTATGGTATGTAGTTTATCATCATGTGTGAATTTAAATCTCTTAGGACAGGCAACACAAAAGTGCACAGGTGAATTTCTGTTGGCTGTGCCTCAGTAAATAATGTAAGGAATATAATCAATACATTGTGTCTTGCAAGGCCAGACACAGCTGATATTTAGGACACACTATCATCCCCATTAATTAGGGAAAGGAGAGGCAGTATCCACCCCAGTTCAGTATGGATCACAAACACAATCCAGATAAAGTTAGTGAAATCCCACTATAATATATTTCATGAACTTACAGGGAAATCCTGTACTCAGATGTAAATCCCAGTGCATTTAGTAATGCTTATATGGTGATCAGTCATGTTTTCAATGGGATTTAAATGTTATAACCAGTGCATGAATATGTTTGCGTGATCAATACGGTATATAGTATGAAGTTAGCCACCATGGTTTGAGTGTTGGACTATGACTCTGGAGACCAGGGTTCAAAAACTTGCTCAGCCATGGAAACCCACTGGGTGACCGTGGGCAAGTCACACTCTCTCAGCCTCAGAGGATGGCAATGGCAAACCTGCTCTGAAGAAACTTGCCAAGAAAAACTCATGAGGGTTTTAGGGTCACCATAAGTTAGAAATGACTTGAAGGCACACAACAACAACATGAAGATGGGAAAACTTGGGGGATCTGGCAGCTAATTTTGCACCTTGGGACTTAATACAGATCAAACCCATCCTCCATAATTCACCACCTCAAAAGCCAGTCAGTGACAATGCTGTTTGGGAGATTCTGGGAGATGTAATCCAAAAAAAATTCCCCCAAGCTCTGATTTATACAGTGGGACAGACTCATGCATAATTACTACAACTAATATAAGGTTCTCTGAAGAATGTGCTTCAGAGAATGAAAGGAAAAAATGTAGAAAAAAAATAAGGAACAGGGAAAATATAATAAAATCTCCACTCAAATGGAAGGAGAGGTCTTAAAAACATCCACACAGCCCAGCTGTCTGGATAGAACTGGCACCAAACAAAAAGACATCTTGAGCTGCCCTTTGCAGGATGCACAGATTACCACAAAAATCACCTACATTGTTCCTACCTCTATAGCAAATGTCACTCACAAAGACTACCTGAGGCAGTCTGTTATCTCATCTCTCCAGGAAATCTGGATTGTGTGGAAGAGAGAGAAAAAGAGAGAATTGTCAGCTCGTCTCTGAGAGGAGCATAACCACAACCTGAGGAAAATATAAATACACCATGACATTACATTTTTAAAACCTAGAATTCTTCCTCAATACAATACAATACAATATTGGTCTCAATACAATACCAAGAAGAAAGCAAGAAGATGCAGGGGGATCCCAGCTCAGCTCAGGACCAATCTGAGACATTATTCTGCCTGAAGCAGAGGACTTTACATACAGAAGCTGACCAGAAGAGCAGTTGAATTTTAATTCAAAATTGGCAGTGGGTTTGCATAGCTGAAAGCAAAAGGCTCGGTTTTGGGAATCTGGGACACACTGTGAAACAAATAAAACTCAGACCCCCAAACACTTCAGCCTGATCCTTATGCTAAGGTTTCAATATTTGTAGCTTTATAGTCTTAGGACATTATCACACGGGGCAAATCTGCTGGTTAATCCACACAAATCCCAAACAAAAACTGGATTTGTGCCTTGCGTTTTCAGACGATGTCGCACAGAAACTGGACAGAAAGTGGACAGAAACTGGCGTTATCAGAGATCTTTTGAAATTCGGTTGTTTGGAGGAAATGCAAATGCAAAATTAAGGTAATTTCGCATTTACCATAATGTGAAAAGCAAATGCGCATTTGGGAGCATTTCCCTGCTTTTCCCATGGTTCCACGGCGAGCATTCCTCTATCTGCGCATGTGCAAGAAGATCATTTCTAGTTCATTTACGGGCTTTTCTCACTTGTGTGTGAACGTTAAATGCGCTTACTTTAATTTTGCAATTAAGGTAATTACGTGTGAAAGCCATTTGTGGAATCAAGGTTTATTTTCGGTTTATTTTTGGAATGCCTCATTTCCACTTTATTATCGCTTTCTGGCCCACGTGTGATAACATCCTTACAGTTTTAAAATCAGCTTGGATAGGAGAATTCCCCAAACAGGCAGAATATAAATCTTGTTGTGTGCCTTCAAGTTGTTTCCGACTTATGGCAAGCCAAAGCCAAATCTATCACAGGGTTTTCTTGGCAAGATATGTTCAGTTAACTTTGCCTTCCTCTCAGGCTGAGAGAGTGTGGCTTGCTCAAGGTCACCCAGTGGGTTTCCATGGCCATGCAGGGATTCAAATTCTCCAGGGCCATAGTCTGGGGCTCAAACCAATACACTATGCTGGATCTCTTAGAATATAAATTAGGCTAAACCACTGAAGACTGCTCAGCCATGGAAATCCAACGGGTGACCTTGGAAAAGTCCCACTCTCTCAGTCGCAGAGGAGGATCAAGGCAAACCTCCTCTGAACAAATCTTGCCAAGTAAACTCTGTGATAGGATTGGCATAGGTTAATGACTTGAAGGCACGCAACAAAAGCAAATGTCAAAAAATGTTACAAACATGTAAGCCACAGTCTTTTTATCTTTCCTCTCTACTCCTCGCTATCCTTAGGACTTCTGTCTGGTATTCCTTCCACTTCTCCTGCTTCAGCTCCACTCCATAGAAGCAAGGAGGCAGTGGAGGCTGGGTGATCCAGTATTGGGGGATGAGGTTGAACCACTCTGGATTGAATCTGAATTTTGAAGGAGCTATCCAAGGTACTAAACTATTTGGAGATATGTTTCAGTACCTTGGATAGCTCTGCTCAGATTTAAATCACACTGGAATAAAAAAGCTTCATGGAGGAATTGGCTTCAAGGGCTGTTAGCCATGATGACTACATTTCTGCTAGTATCAGTGGCACTGTGCCTAAATACCCTAAAGACATCAGATCTCATCTGATCTTGGAAGCTAAGTAGGGTTAGCCCAGGTTAGTACTTGGATGAGAGTCAGCCAATGAACACCAGGTGCTGTAGGCTATTTTTCAGCAGAAGGAACTGTCAAAACCACCTCTGAGTATTCTGTTCCTAAGAAAACCCTATGCAATTCATGGGGTTGCCATAAATCAATAAGCAACTTGAAGGCACATGCACACAGACTCACTATTAGCACTATGGCTCTCAATACCAGTTGGGGAACCAAAGTGAGATGTTGCTGTTGCTCTCATGTCTTGCTTGTGAGCTTCTGAGGGGAAAGTAGTTGGCCAATGTAAGAAAAGGAAGTTAGACTTTTATTATTGTTGTTATTATTAATTATATCCCAGGTTCCCTCTCTAAACCAGTACTCAAGGTGGCTGATACGTACATTATAATAAATATAATATATTTGAAATGTGCAAAAGGAAATTAAAATGGAGTTAACCTACTAATGACAACTTAAAACATTAAATATATTATTAATTATTAAATAATATATATCATTACATATATTAAAAAGATGTTTAAACCAATACAATTAAAAACAGAAAGCTGGACTAGGGAAACCTTTGAAGCCTGTTTCACTGCAGCTGTTCTTAGGTTCTTCATACAATTTCAGCAGAAAAAATGAGAGCTGTTCCCTGGCATGCTTTACATTTTCTTATTATGCCTCATTGTTTATAACTATGCTGTAATTTATTGTGATGAATAGTTTGTTCTGTTTTTGTTTATAGTTCATTTATAGTTCAGTTATCACCTGTTTAAAGAAAGCTTAGTTAATAAAAGCAAATTAATCAGTTAATATATTAAATCCATGAGTCATAAAATAGTTGGGTAGTGGTGAAGGAGGAGGAAGAGGAAGAGGATCATGTTTTGTTTTAAGATGGTATCTGTTTTTCATACTACACAGTTCATACTACACACTTTAGCTGCCATGGGTCCCTCCTATGGAATCCTGGGATTGGTAGTTTTGGGAGGGCAATTAGAATTCTCAGCCAGGGGGCTCTAGTGTTACCCCAACCTACAAATCCCAGGATTACACAGAATGCACTCATGGCAGTTAAAGTGAAACCATATTGCTATAATTGTAGAGTGAGAAAGGACCCTTAGAAGAGGGAGTCTGCCCTTTTTGAGAGAGTGAAAGTGAAGAAAGACATAGGAGTGGGTCTACACTGTTTATAGTGTAAACATTTATAGATGTCCATTAACACTGTAACTGTCATGGAATCCTGGGATATGTAATTTGGTGAGTTACTAGGAATTCTTTGCTAGAGAGCTCTAGCTTGTCTTATTTAGCTCACTTAAAAAATGAGAGCAGCTTCTTTGAGCGGAAGGGACAAATGCTTTGTCTTTGTAATTTGGAAAGTGCCTTTAGAAGGGGAATTCATTGTCTCTTACTGGAAAGTCAAAAAAGCATGTGGTGGTATTATTGTTTCCCATCCAGCAAGTGATTACTTGTTACATTACTAATTACTTTTTAGTTTTGAGAGGAAAAATCAGGTTTTTTTAAAAAATGGCTCAATATGTGAGGGTGGGGGGACCCAACAAAGTACATTTAATCTCCTCTTCTCCTGTGCAAATAATGTGTAGATGTTACTGGTTACTTGGGGGGAAATGAACTCCTTTAGTTTACCAGTTGTGATATTTGCAAAAGAAAAACAGTTATGCCATTTATTACACAC